TGGCACCCGCGCGGGAGCCCCTCGGCTGGAGCTGCCTGTGCACTGCTGGGTGTCCCCGTTGCTTTTTGATGGAACCATCATGGATTTGTTCTGGTTTTGAAGGGGTTTTTTTTCAGCACCCCCTTCTTCACCAGATTCTTGTTTTGTACCGAGAAGGGCTCCTGACAATAGGTGATGTGAAATGCCCTCGGGGGTAGAAGCTGGATGATTGTTCTGTTGTGTCACCTCCCCAGATTTCTTGCCCATTACTGGCTATAAAAATGTCATTAACTAAAGGACCTCTGGGAGAAAACACCTGGGATCAAGACTGCAGGTTTTCAGAGTGGAGGTTTCATCTCCCACCACAGAACGGGATCTGTTTTCATTAAAAGTCTGAGTTGCACTTCTGTCATTTGGTAACCAGGCTCCGTGCTTGTTTGCTTTAGCTGTGCCTTGGCTGAGCAGTTCTAGTCCTCCGGTCTGCAAGATGGATCCCTTAATGCAAAAACCCGCTAGGTTTTGCAAGAGCTGTCCAAATGCAGTCTATAATTCTCAGCATCTTGTATAAGCTGATGCAGAGCAGCACTGTTGGACCGGATGGTGACTAAAATGTTGGTGAGAGTCTCCCAGCTTGTGTGTGCTCTCCCACCATTCCCACCAGCAACAGACCCGGAATGCTGGTAGCAGCTTTTGGACACCATGGCAGATCACCCTGGTACGGGTCTTGCTGTGGGAGCTGGCAGCTGCCTGGTGCATCTTCTCACCTTGTGTGAACCCTGTTGTGTAACAGTTGTTAATTTCCTTGCTCAGACTGTTGAGGGAGCGGGGAAGGAGCGTGAGGCTGGGCTCTAGGTTGTGTTCTTAGAGAAAACGTGCTTCGTTTTCAACTCTGTCTCTCTTAAGAGCTGTTGGTAAGCTGGATCACAATTTATGTTAAAGAAGCCTCGAGTTGTGCAGGGAGAAGCAAAAAGAATAACTGTGCAGTCTTTCTGGGCTGCTAAAAATAATACAGATAGCATAGACAAATGTGGTAGCCAGGTTCTTTGCTACAGAAAATACAAAATAACAGAAGAAATATTTTGTTGTGCTACAAAGGAGATAGCCATATTTTTTCTGTCTTTAAATATAGATATGATACATCTTCAAAATGCAATTGGCAGTCCATGTCCCTTCCAAACATGGGAAAATTTTATCACAAAGACTGGTTAGGCTAAGTGCTACATTTAGGAGTGGTGCAGAGAGCAGCTCCCTGTTCTGTGTGTGCTGTGCCCCATTGAAACTAAGTCCACAAGTGATAAAAGGCTGAAAGTGCTTGGAGTGGGAGGAACAAAGAGTTGGCTGGGCTTGTTCTTAACGTCTGTTTTATTTGGTGAAGGAAAACGGAGAATAACAGTTCCCCACACTGAGAAGCTTGCAGCCAGTCAGCTCTGCGTTGGAGTGAGGTGCTGGAAGTAGCATCTGGGCTGGGAGGCCGGGGCTGGACCCCCCTGCTGCTGCCAGAACTGCTCCCATCACACGCTGCTCCCCTGCAGCTCTGCTGGTCCTGCCCCTGCCAGCCCCACCTCACCTCGTTTTGCATCTCTTATCTTCTGGTTTAACTCTGTTGGCTTTAAATGGAGTTGCTGATAGACTGCCGAGGTATAAATGGATAAGGGGATTCATTCGATCGGCTGGACACGTTGCTTTGTTGGTTTATCTTTTATTCTGCACCCAGTGCTTTGGGCAAGGAAGAGTTCTGGTGTGAAGGTCTATTCTGAGCTGATGCTACTGCCTAAATACCTAAAATATGAGTGTATTTTAAACAAAACAACCTCATACCCTCCATCACGCCTCCAGAACAGGTACAGCTGTCAGGCTGGGCACAGCAGTGTGTGTGTTGGTGCGTTTTTTTCACTGAACTTTTAATAGTTTGTTTCATAGAAATGTTCATTTGGAGCAACCTTTGTAGAAAGAAAGCCAGGATGTTTACATGCAGGTTTTATAATCATTTTCTTTGGTATTTTTGCATAAAGGCATTAATTTGCTCTCTTTATGCCCATAAGCTTTGTTCTCAATGTGTGTATTTTAAACAGGCAAGAAACAGGTATGGAGTGGGGTACATGTTTGCAGCAGGAGACAGTTTGAAGGAGTGGACCAAATTGTGTGTGGGAGCTGCTTGGAGGGTCAAACAGAGGTCTGTTTCTATAAAATATGTAAGTTACTTGCCAACACAAATATTACCTAGCAGTTTACATGTGTTGAGAGAGTGCAGTACAGCCCTGCAACAGGAATAGAATAGAATAAAATAACCATCAGTCTGGATCCCTGAGGAAGTCAAGTCAAGAAAGGAAGTGTGCAATGCCAGAAAGCCTGGATGGAACAGCAGGTTTAGAGGACTTAGCGTTTGAAGTATTTTTAATTATTGCTATTATTATAATGGCACACAGACTAGAAGCTGAATTTTTAAAATATAATTAAAGCAGAAGTCAGCAGAGGGATTTCTCTGCTGTGTGGCAGAGGAATGGTTCAAGAGCAGTTCCTGCTCAGGAAGGTGAATTCCCAGAGTGATGATGCTCTCTGCAATTCCCAAGCTTGCTGACAGCTTACCACCAAATGCTGGCTTGGAGGGAAGAAGTGAACAGGATGGATCAAAAAGCTTTCCCTAGCTTGTACTGCATTCTCTTATGTGGGAGGAAGGTTCCAGTTGGAAAGCAGCCATGGATACCTTGGCTGAGGATGCTGAAGTGTGGTGATAGCTGCCCTCTAGATCGGATGCCGGCCTGAACTGCCATTTGGGCCATCTAATAAATAATTTGGAGTCCCTTCGTAGTCCCTCCATCACATTAGCATTAAGCTACATTCTAAAGCAACTGTTCAGCTTTGAATTAATGAGTGTAGACCAAAGAGTTAAAACATCAGTTTTTTCTGCCAAAAGGAAGGAAGAAAGAAAGAAGAGAAAGAGGGAAGGAAAGAAAGAAAGAAAGAAAGAGGGAAGGAAAGAAAAGAAAGAAAGATCCATCTTTTAACTCTGCTTTTCAGGAACTTGGCTGCTCAGATGAGAGAGGCGTGTGCTTTTCCGCCCGGCTCGAGGTGAGGGCTTAGTTCAAGGGGGCCCAGATTTGGCTCAGTCAACAGTTGTGTTGGCGTCTTGCCATTGCATGTGCATAAAATGGAGCTGCCTGCAGTTCCCTTCTCACTCTAACATGGAGGGGCAGCCCAGGCAGAGCCCAGGCCCTGCTGAGCCTTGCTGTAGCTTGACTTTGCTGGGAGAGTGACCTGGGATGTGCCATCCCTGCAGCCTAAGCCATTGTATTGTGACTTGACTGTTGCTTTAGAGTCCTTGGGTTGCA